GACCTGAGCCGAAGGCAGTCGCTTAACCAACTGAGCCACCCAGGCGCCCTACTTATTAAGTTTTAAGAGTTCTTTTTTATATTCTGAATATAAGTCCTTTTCTGAAAATGTTTACAAATATTTTTCCCACTCTGTAGCTTTTCCTTTTTTTTTTGTAAATTTATTTATTTTTTATTTTTTAAAGATTTATTTATTTGACAGAGAGAGAGACAGCAGGAGAGGGAACACAAGCAGGGGGAGTGGGAGAAGGAGAAGCAGGCTCCCCACTAAGCAGGGAGCCCGATGCAGGACCCTGGGATCATGACCCAAGCCGAAGGCAGACGCTTAACGACTGAGCCACCCAGGTGCCCCATTTTTCTTTTTTAAGGTTTTTTTTATTTGAGAGAGAAAGAGAACATGAGGAGGGAGGGGCAAAGGAGGAGGGAAAAGCAGACTCCCCACTGAACAGGGAGCCCAATGTGAGGCTGGATCCCAGGACCCTAAGATTATGACTGGAGCCAGAGGCAGACAGACACCTAACTGACTGAGCCACCCAGGCACCCCTGTAGCTTGTCTTTTCATTCTCTTAATAGTGATTGTTGCAGAACAAACACTTTAAATTTTGCTTAAAAACAAAGAAAACACAGGAAACTCTAAGCCAGAACTTTCATACTTTGAATTCAGGTTTTCTTCCCCAATTGTTACCATTTACTTTTCAGAGTCCTTAAATGCCACCTGGACTGCGTCCAGGGCTTTTAGCTGCATTCAGTGGGAGAGATAGGATGGAGTATGCTTACTCTGTCATACCTAGAACCAGAACCCATTCAAATATCCTTTTAATAAATTCCTTTTCCATTTAAATTAATTTATTTCTATTGTTTACAACCAATAATTCTGGCCTAGTTGTATTATTTATCCATCAAATGTCTGTTTGCCTAACCAGACTAAGAACTACAAAGATAAATTTGTAGTACTGGGCCTAGCACAGTGTTTATTTAGTAAATGAATGAATAAACTTCACTATGGTGATCAACAATTATTAAAAGAACATGGCTATTTTATATTCTACTAGTAGTACTTAGGTGATTTATTAGTTATGAGACTGACCTGTTTTCTCAAATATTACGGACAAAAAAATGAATAATCTGGGTCATGGCCATCCATTGTTTGATGTACCCAGAATCCTCCTCTAATGGGAAACTGCTTCTTTCTGCATCCAAAAGTGGTTCTGGTGAAGACTTCCAGTCACACTTCACCCCTATGATCTAAGCAAGCCTATCATAAGCTTCCACTAGGATTTTTCAAATTCAAACTAAGGGAAAAGACTCCCTCTTTCTCTGTGTTGGTAGGAAGCTGGTCTCTAATAGGAAAGAATAAAGTATAGATGGAGGGAGAAGCACAGAAAAGAGATTCTGATTTCATTTCATTCCCTGTCCTTCCCAGATTGGTTAAAAGAGCTAATAAATCCTCTGTTTTGTCAAAGCCAATTTGAGGTAAGTTTCTATTCGCTATCAAAAGAGTCATAACAAATGCAATCTGAGCTAATCAATTAGCGCTTTTTTTTTTTTAAGATTTTATTTATTTATTTGACAGAGAGAGAGCACAAGCAGGGGGAGTGGTAGGCAGAGGGAGAGGGAAAAGCAGGCTCCCCGCAGAGCAGGGGGAGCCTGATGTGGGACTTGATCCCAGACTCCTGGGATCATGACCCGAGCCAAAGGCAGTCACTTAACCAACTGAGCCACCCAGGCACCCTAGGCTTCTTCTGAGATTTCTTTTTTTTTTTTTTTTTTTTTTTAAGATTTTATTTATTTATTTGAGACAGAGAGAATGAGAGAGAGAGAGCACATGAGAAGGAGGAGGGTCAGAGGGAGAAGCAGGCTCCCTGCCGAGCAGGGAGCCCGATGCGGGACTCGATCCCGGGACTCCAGGATCATGACCTGAGCCGAAGGCAGTCGCTCAACCGACTGAGCCACCCAGGCGCCCCTTCTTCTGAGATTTCTTTCCCTCATATGTCTTCTCTATAATTTGGGGAAAATATGTATTTTCAAAACACAATATGTCTTATAGGTTTGTAGCATCTCTTACGTTTAAACTCTGCACCATGTCTTACACTTTCCTGCTTCGAAATTTACAGTGGTATGCATTCTCTCTCTCATTTAAAAATTTTTCACTCCTTCTCACATTTTAATTTATTTTTTATTTTTATTTTTTTAAAGATTTTATTTATTTGCCAGAGAGAGAGAGAGAGCGGCAGGCAGAGGGAGAAGCAGGCTCCCCACTGAGCAAAGAGCCCGATGTGAGACTTGATCCCAGGACCCTGGGATCATGACCTGAGCTGAAGACAGACGCTTAACCAACTGAGCCACCCAGGCATCCCTCCTTCTCACATTTTTAAAAAGATTTTTTTTATTTGAGAGAGAGAAACCATGAGCAGGGGGTGGGGGAGGGCAGATGGAGAAGCAGACTCCCTGCTGAGTGGGGAGCCCTATGCGGGGCTCGATCCCAGGACCCTGGGACCATGACCTGAGGTGAAGGCAGACACTTAACCAACTAAGCCACCCTCAGAGGTGCCCCTCACGTTTTTTTTTAAGTAGTCTCCACACCCAACATAGCTTGAATTCATGACCTTGAGATCAAGACTTGCATGCTCTACCAACTGAGCCAGTCAGGTACCCCATTCTTACCACATTTCTGACAAGCACTAATTGACAAACAAAAAAATCTAAAATCTAAAATCTTGAGTTTTGGGGCACCTGGATGGCTCAGTCGGTTATGAGACAGATTTTTTACTTTGGCTCAGGTCATTATCTCAAGGTCGTGGGATGGAGCCCCACATTGGGCTCCACACTAAGAGTGGAGTCGGCTTGAGATTCTCTCCTTCTCCTTTTGCCCCTCTCTGTTTGCCCCTACCTCTGCTTGTGCTCATGCTCTCTCTCTTTTTTTAAAGATTTATTTATTTATTTGACAGAGAGAGACACGCGAGAGAGGGAACACAAGCAGGGGGGTGGGAGAGGGAGAAGCAGGCTTCCAGCTGAGCAGGGAGCCCAATGTGGGGCTCGATCCCAGGACCCTGGGATCATGACCTGAGCCGAAGGCAGATGCTTAACGACGGAGCCACACAGTGCCCCTCATGCTCTCTCTCTAAAATAAATAAATAAAATCTTTAAAAGTAATAATAATAAAATAAAATACTGGATTTTATTTTTGCCAGAATTTATTAAAATTATGATTTTTTTGCCTATCATATAAGTCAATATCTTAAGCTTGAATTTTTTAATGGAGAGAGATTCTTCAGAGTCCTCATTATTTGTTCTATTTAAGTGCTATATATTTTTTGCTATCTTGTAAATAATTGTTAACAGAAACTCGCTTCACTACAAAAAAAAAAGAGAAGGAAATGATACAGGGAGAGAGAGAAAGGAAGGAAAGAAGAAAATGTTGAGAGAAATTTAACGTTTCAAAAAAACTTTTTTAGGGGCACCTGGGTGGCTCAGTCGTTAAGCATCTGCCTTCCGCTCAGGTCATGATCCCACGGTCCTGGGATCAAGCCCCACATCGGGCTCCCTGCTCAGCGGGAAGCTTGCTTCTCCCTCTCCCACTCCCCCTGCTTGTGTTCCCTCTCTCGCTGTGTCTCTCTCTGTCATATAAATAAATAAAATCTTTAAAAAAAAAAAATTTTTTTTTTAGCTGCAGAAATCTTTTTTTTTTTTTTTAAGTAACTGCTACATCCAACATGCTCTACCAACAGAGTCAGCCAGCCTGCCCCTGCTGCAGAAATCTTGATCAAACAAAATATAATCCCATGCCTAGAGAACAAAAAAATTTAACATTGATCTATCTGAAGGAGTAAGAAGGTGAGTACTCTGCAGTAACCTACTATAGCCATGAGGGGCCTCTGAGAAACTGGTAGGGTCCTAGAGCCTGGATTCCTAGGGGAAAGAAGTCTCTCAATGTCTGGAAAATGTTTATTTACCAACAGAATCAAACACTTCAAATAGAGCATTTTGCTTTTCTCACTAAAGGAAGATAGTCATTCAACAGAAAGGATACTTAGTCTAAGAATCCTTAAAGAAATTCTGGCTCTTTCAACATGAAAGTACTAGTGGTGACAGTAAGTGATACATCTTCACTGTCACAGAAATAATAAAGTATATTTCTGCTTAAGTGTTATAATTTCCATGACATCTAAAGTCGTTCTGATAACTTACTACCAAGAAATGAACAACTTAATTTCTTCAGTGACTTCAACTTATTTATTTATAAATTAATATAGGAGTCCTAATTTATCTCATGTATTTGCTAAGGTAAATGAATAAATAAAAACTAACAAGTAAGACTATGTATAAAATTTAGGGTATATCTTAAAAAATACCAACATTTTAATCTCAGGAAACAAACTGAGGGTTGCTGGAGTGGTGGGGGGTGGGAGGGATGGGTGGCTGGGTGATAGATATTGGGGAGGGTATGTGCTATGCTGAGCGCTGTGAATTGTGTAAGACTGTTGAATCACAGACCTGTACCTCTGAAACAAATAATACATTATATGTTAAAAAAAAAAAAAAGAAGAAGAAGATAGTAGGAAGGGAAAAATGAAGGGGGGGATTCGGAGGGGGAGACGAACCATGAGAGACTATGGACTCTGAGAAACAAACTGAGGGTTCTAGAGGGGAGAGGGGTGAAGGGATGGGTTAGCCCGGTGATGGGTATTAAAGAGGGCACGTTCTGCATGGAGCACTGGGTGTTATACGCAAACAATGAATCATAGAACACTACATCAAAAACTAATGATGTAATGTATGGTGGTTAACATAATAAAATAAAATTTAAAAAAAATACCAACATTTTGGGGCACCTGGCTGGCTCAGTCAGTGGAGCATGTGACTCTTGATCTTGGGGTTATGGGTTCGAGCCCCACATTGGGTGTAGAGATTACTTAAAATCTTAAAAAAAAAAACCAACATTTCAAAGTGAGAAAACCAGCCTGAATAGCCTGAATCAGCTTTTTAAAGAATTCACGTACTGTGCTCGCTTGGGCAGCACATACACTAAAATTGGAACCATACAGAGAAGATTAGCATGGCCCCTGTGCAAGGATGACACGCAAATTTGTGAAGCATTACATATTTAAAAAAGAGAAAGAATTCATGTGCTATATTCTTGACCCTAAAACAACTGTTATCTAATTTCCTAACTGATGATCTGAAAAGATAACAAATTAAAGGGCAGAATTTTGGCAAAATAAACATAACATTACTTGAATATTGTATTTCTCTAATAAGTCCTTTAGCTTACTTTTTTCCAGAGGGCCAGAACTGTGGCAGCTAAATTCAAACCTGCCACAAGTCACACTGACAAGTAAGCAAATAATTATTAGATGAGCTATAAAGGCAAGAGTGTTATCATGCTGAAATAGAATTATTTGACTATTAATATTCCATTTTCTGTTTCCCTCAAAAGAGATGAGATGTCTCATCCACTTGAAAGGTTTGCATACCTGTCACATTTGTCTTTTGCCCTTTTCTTTTTCTCTTCAAACTGTTCCAAGAGGCCCTTTGATTTCCCAACTGACAAAGGAAGAGGAAATAAGCCTCTGTCGTTTGTATCTCCTCCAAACAGCTGGGGTTTTGTCTGGTACTTTGTGAAAATACTAGGTTCACTCTGTTAAATGAAAAAAAAATCACAGCATTTCACACATGAAAATATTTACAGCATTCACTATTTTCTACACAATGGAGAGTCACATTTAAGTGCAAACCATAATACTAAAGAACAACATGGCATGTAGTATTTCCTTTTTATTTCATATACATCAGAAAATTACATTAAAATAAAGCAACTCTTTTTATTAATAAGGTTTCTGCCTTACCAGCCCAGAGATATTAAAAATATCAGCTATGGGCATCTGGGTGGCTCAGTCTGTTAAGCATCTGCCTTTGGCTCAGGTCATGATCTCAGGGTCCTGGGATTGAGTCCTGCATCACATCAGGACTCCCCCTGTTCAGCAGGGAGTCTGCTTCTCCCCTCTCCCTCTGCCTGCTGCTCCTCCTGCTTGTGCTCACTCTCTCTCTCTCAAATAAATAAATAAAATCTTGAAAATATATATATCAGCTAATCAGGTGCCTCGCTGACTTAGTCGATATAGTATTTCAGACTACCAAGTCTCTCAGACTACTGAGTTACCAATCAAGTGCAAATCCATTTAGGAGAGTAATCCTTAGAGATGTGTAATTCTAAAATATAATTCAACAGAATAAGTCTTCTTCATAGCTTATCTCCATAATGATTATGAAATGTGTGCAGAGAAATTCTGGAAATGAGACTCACGTCCAGAGAATTCTGTTGTGACTGTTTTGGTTGTCTCAAGTGGACACTGTCCAAGGGTGCTGACAGAGTCTCTGAACTTTCTGGACAGAACTGGGATCCAAAGAGGAACTGGGAATCACTGAGACTGGAGTAATCAGTCTGATTATTATTCCAGCTAGATGACTTAGTGGTCCTGAAATTAAGCAAGAAAAGAGAAGTATATGAAGTGGATAAACATTCTGAACAAATGAAATCATAATTCACAGCTATTCATTTCAGAATATTCTGGGCAGAGTACTAGTTTGTTCTGACCTCCTAGTCCCCTGCACACTACCAGTACTACCTATAAAGAAACACCAAGAAATTCTGAATGCCAGGCATTTTGATGACAGCAACTTGAGAACAATCAGATGGAAATCAAACAGTAAGGACTGACACTATTATTTTTTGTACAACAGCACTGTGGGCTATAACACCATTTGGGGGATCAAAGTTCCTGAAATCTTTAGGGATTAAAAGAACATTATCTTTTAAAAAGTTGAATCTGGGGGTGCCTGGGTGGCTCAGTCAGTTGGGCACCCAACTCTTGATTTCAGCTCAGGTCATGATCTCAGGGTCATAGAATCGAGCCCCATGTAGAGCTCTGTGCTGGGCGTGGAACCTGCTTGGGATTCTCTCTCTCCTTCTGCCCCTCCTTCCCACCCCCCATTCTCTCACTCACTCTTGCTCTCTCTAAAAAAGAAAGTTGAATCTGTTAATCACTAAGGGAATAGATAAAAATAATATATGGTGTATGCATATAACTGAGGCATTAGTCAGAAGCAATAAACTAGATTTACATATAACCACATGAATAAATCTCAAAAATGTAATTTTGAGTGTAGAGAGTAAAAATTGAATGAACTCTGTATCATTTATATAACCTTTTAAATCTACATCACACCACACCAAACAAGTATATAACTGTGTGTGTAGAAGGTGAATTAGAACTCTCATTAACTCTCCTAGAGTGTGCCTACAGGGAAGGAAGGGAGCAGGATTACAGGGAGAGTAGGAGTCATAATACAAAAAACACAAGACAGCTTAGTTACAGACTGTCTGTGTTCTTCAAAAATTCATATGTTGAAGTCCTAATCCCTAATGTGATAGTATTTGGAAATGGGGCTTCGGGAGGTAATTAGGGTTAGACAAGGTCATGAGGGTGGAGCCTTCATGATGGGATTAAGGTCTTTACAAGTAGAGACACCAGAGAGTTTGCCCTCCTTTCTTTCTCCTCCCTGTGAGGACACAGAGAGAAGACAGTTGTCAGCAAGCCAGTAAGGGAGCCCGCACCAGAAATGATCCAGCTGGCATATGGTTCTAGGACTTCCAATCTCCAGAATTGAGAAAATAAATTTCTATTGTTGAAGCCATCCACTTTAGGGTACTTTGTTATGGCAACCTAGCAGACTAATACAGGCCTTATCCAGACTGAAGAATATGATCAACTCAGATTTGTGCACAGGAGGATCTATTAAACATTGTTTTTGTATTTATTTATTTATTTATTTATTTATTTATTTATTTATTTATTTATTTTTAAGATTCCACCAATTTGACAGAGAGAGACACAGCGAGAGAGGAAACACAAGCAGGGGGGGTGGGAGAGGGAGAAGCAGGCTCCCCGCGGAGCAGGGAGCCCGATATGGGGCTCGATCCCAGGACCCTGGGACCATGACCTGAGCTGATGGCAGACGCTTAACGACTGAGCCACCCAGGTGCCCCTAAACATTGTTTTTGAAACAAGGCGGTATTAAAAAAAAAAAAGAGAGAAGAAACAAGGTGGTGTTCCCTTTCACACTTTTAGTGTCTTTTTTTTTTTTTTAAGATTTTATTTATTTATTTGAGACAGAGAGAATGAGAGAGAGAGAGCACATGAGAGGGGGGAGGGTCAGAGGCAGAAGCAGGCTCCTTGCCGAGCAGGGAGCCCAATGCGGGACTCGATCCAGGGACTCGATCCAGGGACTCCAGGATCATGACCTGAGCCGAAGGCAGTCGCTTAACCAACTGAGCCACCCAGGCGCCCACACTTTTAGTGTCTTATTCTTGCTTGAAGTAGTTCCAGCTGTGGACTTCCAACTTGTTTCCCATGGGTATTTACACCAGTCTTTAAACCTCTCATATGAAAGGGAAAGTGATAGTGATGATACAATCACACTTGAACACAGTGTACTGAGCCTATTACAGAGACAGCATATAAGCAGGCACACAAGTAAAATACAGTCTTCAAGTTTTTACTTGAAAGACATCTCAGTAACAATTTGTGTTACTTCATGCTGTTATGTAACCTGAAAAAACATGTTTTTCATTCAGACACACAAACACGAATACACAAATCATTCCTTTTTTAAAAAGCTAAATCTAGGGGCACTGGGGTGGCTCAGTCGGTTAAGCATCCAACTCTTGATTTCAGCTCAGGTCATAATCTCAGGGTTGTAAGATTGAGCCCCAAATTGAGGCTCTGCTCCGGGCGTGGAGCCCACTTAAGATTCTTGATTCTCTCTCTCCCTCTCCCTCTGCCCCTCCCCCTGCCCTCGCTCTCTCTCTTCCCCTCCTCTAGTAAATAAATAAGCCAAATCTAAAATAATTAGATAGCATATAAGTACATATCCTAAGCCAAAGGAACCATCATATATTGATGCAAGACAAAAAAACAAAACAAATAGTTCAGCACAGGAAGGAGCAATTATTTCACTGATAGAACCATTTTCTAAGATTAGCTAAGGTAATGGGCTGCACACATGTATTATAATATGGGTTGCGTAATCATTGCTCAAAATACCTTAAATAGCTCTCTGTGACTCCCCTCTTAGGTCAAAGAGAATAATTAGCTGGGCTGGAAAAAAAACCTGTGAGCTTATAGAAATTACGTAGGATTTACATCTTAAAGCTATGATCTAGAATTTAACAAAGATAGATTTTTCCCTACTCTGTATCAACTGCAAGCAATTTTTTTTCTTTTTAAGAGATAAAAAGCACAGTGCTCTAGGTTTTTATTGAATTAATAACTGTCTTTAGGAAGGTGTTAGGAAGAAAATAAACTATCCAATAATAAAACATAAAGCAATTAGAAATCCCTTAAATATATACTACTTCTGGGGCACATCCACCAAGTTAGCAATGGCAGGCCCACTGCATGGCTGGCGGACAGAAATGTAAATACTTCAGTGGACTAGTAGAAGGGGCAATATTTCAGTGAGTTTTGTCAACAGCTAGAGTGGCTCTTAACTCCACAGTACCTACAAACGGTACTACACAACTGAATACGTATCTGAACATTGTCTTGATTTTGCTCCCTGCTGTTTCAATAGCAATCGCTCCAACCAAGGTGAGTTTCTAGATGTTGGGCCATGTCTAATTCTCACAGGCCCCATAGTCCCTAGGCCCAGTGCTGGACACAGAGCCACTGCTCAGTTAACACACACAGCTGAATTGACATGCTTTCATGATCAGAAAATAGGCAAAAGGAAAAAGACAAGGATGGGAGAGCAGTGAAAGGAAGGGAGGAGAAGGGGAAGAAGCTATAGAAGTAACTCTATTACTAATTAACTAATAGGAAAAGGCGCCTTTTTCTATGAAATCAATACAACTATAAAATCCTCAGTATCAGAGTATATAACCAGAAAACTTACCCAGAGCCTGAGGGAATACTGAGCATCTCTTTGATATTCCAGACATTAAAATTCATTTCTTATGGTTAGCCCTATTAAAAAGAGAGGAATATTAATTTAAAAGGTTAAGATAGTATAACTTTCCCCTAAAGATTACTCTACTGGTAACTATTATATGTAGATGAGGACATTTCAGCAACTATATTCCCATCCATTTGGTGAAAACTCCCATTACACGTGTCAGAAACAGGTATTTTCTTTTTTTTTTAAAAAAAGACTTTAGCTCTTTTTTTTTTTAAAGATTTTATTTATTTATTTGAGAGAGAGAGAATGAGAGACAGAGAGCATGAGAGGGAAGAGGGTCAGAGGGAGAAGCAGACTCCCTGCCGCGCAGGGAGCCCGATGCGGGACTCGATCCAGGAACTCCAGGATCATGACCTGAGCCGAAGGCAGTCGCTTAACCAACTGAGCCACCCAGGCGCCCGAGAAACAGGTATTTTCTTTTTTTTTTTTTTTAAGATTTTATTTATTTATTTGACAGAGAGAGACACAGCGAGAGAGGGAACACAAGCAGGGGGAGTGGGAGAGGGAGAAGCAGGCTCCCCGCAGAGCTGGGAGCCCAATGCGGGACTCGATCCCAGGACCCTGGGATCATGACCTGAGCTGAAGGCAGTCGCTTAACCGACTGAGCCACCCAGGCACCCCGAGAAACAGGTATTTTCAAGGCACCTGGCTGGCTCAGTCAGTGGAGCATGTGACTCTTGATTTTGGGGGTTATGAGTTTGAGCTCCATGTTGGGTGTAGAGATTACTAAAAATAAAATCTTTTAAAAAAGAAAAGAAATAGGTATTTTCTGCTATTAAACTGCATACAAATCCCTTCCTTATTAATACTAGTCATCTGTGAAACAGTAAATTTGCATTCCATCTTTTGCTCTCTCGTCCTTTTCTCTTGCCATCCTATTAATAATCTACTTCTAGGAAAAGACCAATAAACTCTATTTTTCATTGCCTGATACAATGAATGACTTGATCTATAACCTCTCCCAAGACTAGTTCTCCCCAGATCATAGGATATGGGAATGCCAAGAGTGCTATCGAATTTGGGCAATAAAGAAGCTTGATGAAGAGTGAGCGCTTTGGGCAAACTGCTTTCCCACACCTCTTATGACAATACCTCTTATTGCCTACTTTGCTCATTGGCAACACAACTATGGTTCATTATTATGATCATAGAGCCTGGATTTTATAAAATAAGCCCAATTTCTAAATTTTGTCTCCCTGATCTCACAGAACATTCATATTTATCAGATTATATATTACCATTGAGGGCATCAGAAAATGATTCCCACACAAATGGTAGGCATATGTGACCAAACATCAAATACTGTCCCAACAGAGATCTAGATAAAATGAAACACAAGTTCTAAATAAATATAGACATTTTAGTATACTTTTTATATAATTTAACCTTGTTTAGAGAAATCTGTTACATTGAAGTTTTCTGATTTTTTAGAAAAATAGATGCACTGGGGTGTTTATAACTACTTGTTTTGCAAGAATATTAAGCATAGATCACAGGATCAAGGGGTGAAAGGCCTTACCATTTACATAACCCTGCTATGTGTTGGGTACAGTCCTAGATATGTTGCAGGATACAAGGTTAATGATTTTGTGAGGCAGATGTTATACAAACTTAGAAGTTTGTAAGGACTCACATGGACTAAATAATTAGTTCAAGTTCTATCCAAATTTGGAGATAAATATGTTCTATGCTAGGTCAACCCATTACCAAAGGCCATGCATGTTGTGCTCTTGTTTCTCAACACTGGCTCTGTCTTAGATACTTTCTAGAACCAAGCAACTCTGTATTTCTCCCTTTATGAGCAGCTTGGTAATGACTTGAAAGGACATGACTTTAGAGGAACAAGATCAAGATTCAGATCCTGACTCCTGCATTTATAGTGTGAACTTGGGCAAATTAACTAACCTCTTTGTTTTTTGGGTTTTTTCTTTTTTAAGATTTTATTTTTAAGTAATCTCCACACTCAATGTGGGGCTCAAACTTACAAACCTGAGATCAAGAGTCGCATGCTCTACCAACTGAGCCAGACAGGAAACCCAGATTAGTTAACTTCTTTGAATCCCAGTTTCCTCATCAGTTAAATGAAGACAATGCCTATCTTTAAAAGTGGGGACAGGGATTCAAGAACATGAATATCCAGTGCCTGGATACGGATACTGGCACTTTTTAGGTGTTTAATTACTTCCTTAGAGACTGTGGCTTCACCATTTTCAAATAAATCTATGGTCTCCTGGAGACTTTGACATTCACCTACTCTCAGTTCAAAGGACTCTCATATGTAACACACCAAGTCTCTCACACTCACCTAGCTGAGAATAATAAAGTTGCTGCAAGGTTGGGACTAAATATCAGAGTTAATTATTTTGTCTCAGCACCCCTGAACACAGTTTAGACTGTGTAGAATACCTTCAAAGAAGTTCAATGTAATATTACTATCTCATGATACAAATAAATTAATAAAATACCTCATTGAGATGAAAACTGAAGAAAATTCATTTTAAAAACTGGCTATATTGTCCGGGCAGGTTTGTAAGTGAATTCTACCAAACATTTAAGGAAGAAATTATGCCAATTCTCTAAAATCTCATCCTAATACCAAAACCAGACAAAGACATTGTAAGAAAAGAAAACCACAGACCAAGACTCTCATGAACATAGGTACAAAATCCTCAACAAAATATTAGCAAATTGAATGCAACAATATATAAAAAGAATTATACACAACTGAGTGATATTTATTCTAGACATGCAAAGCTATTTCAACATTTGAAAATCAAATAATGTAAACCATCACATCAACAGACTAGAGAAGAAAAATAATATGATCATATTAATGATATTTAAAAAGCATTTGGGGTGCCCGGGTCACTCGGTTGAGTGTCTGACTCTTGATCTCAGCTCAGGTCTTGATCTCAAGGTCGTGAGTTTAAGCTCTGTGTTGTGCTCCATGCTGGGCGTGGAGCCTACTAAAAAAAATTTAATTAATTAACTTTTTAAAAAGGCATTTGACAAAATTCAACACCCATTAATAAGAAAAACTCTCAGCAAAGTAGGAAATAGAGGGGGAACTTCCTCAACTTGATAGAAAACATCTACACAAAATTCCAAAGCTAACATTATACTTAATGATGAGAAACTAAAAGTTTTCCCTCTTCAGATCAGGAACAAGGCAAGGATTCCCCCTCTTCTCTCAATACAACATTGTACTAGAAGTTCTAACTAATGAAATAAAACAATAAAAGGAAATAAAAGGTATACAGATTGGAAAAGAAGAAATAAAACTGTCTTTGTTCAAGACCACATAAGTTTCTATGGAGAAAATCCAAAAGAAGTGACAAATAAACTCCTGGAACAAACAAGTAATTATACCAGTGTTGCAAGATAAAGATTAATACACAAAAGTTAATCACCTTCCCATATACCAGCAATGAACAAATGGAATTTGAAATTAAAAACACAATACCACTTATATTAGTACCCCTAAAATACTTAAGTATAAATCTAACAAAATATGTATAAGATCTATATGAAGAAAAACACAAAATTATGATGAAAGATACCAAAAAGAACTAAATAAGTGGAGAGATATTCATGTTCATGGATAAGAAGACTCAATATTGTCAAGATGTCAGTTCTTTCCAACTTGATCTCTATATTCAATGCAATCTCAATAAAAATTTGAGCAAGTTATTTTGTGGATATTGACAAACTGATTCTTAAGTTTATATGGAGAGGCAAAAGATCCAGAATAGACAACACAATATTGAAGGAGAAGAACAAAGTCAGAGGACTGACTCTACCCAACTTCAAGATTTACTATAAAGCTACACTAATCAAAATAGTGTGGTATTGGCAAAGGAAAAGAATAATAGATCAATGGAACGGAATAGAGTGCCCAGAAATAGACTCACTCAACTACAGTCAACTGATCTTTGACAAGGGAGCAAAGTCAATAAAATGAAGAAAACATAGTCTTTTAAACAAATTGTGCTGAAACATCTGGATATCCACATGCAAAGAAAATTTAGACACAGACCTTATACCTTTCATAAAAAATTAACTCAAAATGGATCATAGACCTAAATGTAAAATACAAAGCTATTAAAAAAAAAACTCTTAGAAAATAAAATAGGAGAAAATCTAGATGACCCCCACATTTGCCAAAGACTTTGTAAATACAATACCAAAGACATGATCCATGAATGAAAGAATTAATAAGCTGGACTTCCCTAAAATTAAAAACTTCTGCTCTGTGAAAAACATGGTCAAGAAAGTGAAAAGACAAGCCACATACTGGGAGAAAATATTTGCAAAAGACATCTGAAAAAGGTATCCAAAATAACGAAAATATACAAAGAACACTTTAAAAAAAAATTACTTATTTTTTTAAGTAATCTCTACACCCAACATGAGGCTCAAACTCATGACCCTGAGATTAGGAGTCACATGCTCCACTGACCAAGTCAGCCAGGTGTCCCAAATATACAAAGAATTCTTAAAACTCAATAATAGGGGCGCCTGGGTGGCTCAGTCATTAAGCGTCTGCCTTTGGCTCAGGTCACGATCCCAGGTCCTGGGATAGAGCCCTGCATCAAGCTCCCTGCTCGGCGGGAAGCCTGCTTCTCCCTCTCCCACTCCCCCTGCTTGTGTTCCTGCTCTCACTATCTCTCTCTGTCAAGTAAACAGATAAAATCTTAAAAAAAAAAAAAAAAACTCAATAATAAAACAAACAACTCGACACATATATCAGTGGAATAGAAAAGAGAGCCCAGAAATTAACCCATGCATATATGGTTGATTAATTTATGACAAAGGAGCCAAGAATATACAATAGGGAAAGGATAATCTCTTTGATGGTGCTGGGAAAACTGGACAGCCACATACCAAAGAATGAAACTGGACCCTTGTCTTACATCACATACAAAATCAATTCAAAATAGATGAAAAATTTAAGTTTAAGACTTGAAACAGTTAAATTCCTATAGGAAAATATAGGGGGTAAGCTCCTTGACATCAGTCTTGGCAATGATTTTTTGGGCTTGACACGAAAAGCAAAAGCAACAAAAGCAAAAATAAACAAGTAAGACCACATCAAACTGAAAAGTTTCTACACAGCAAAGGAAACCATCAACAAAATGAAAAGGCAACCTGTGGAATGGGAGAAAACATTTGCAAACCATATATCTGATAAAGGGTTAATTCTGAAATATATAAAGGACTTGTACAACTCATAGGAAAAAACTCAAACAAACCAATTAATAAATGGGCAGAGGAACTGAATAGACATCTTTCCAAAGCAGATACACAAATGGCCTAAGGTACATGAAAAGGTGCTCAACATCACTATTCATCAGGGAAATGCAAATCAAAACCACAGTGAGATGTCATCTCACACTTTTCAGGATGGCCATCATCAAAATAACAAGAGATAAATATTGGTGAAGATATGGAAAAGAGGGAAACTGTGTATTGTTGGTGGTAATGTAAATTGGTGCAGCTACTATAAAAAATAGTATGGAGTTTACTCAAGAAATTAAAAATAGAATTACCATATATAATCCAGCAATCCTACTTCTGGGTGTATATCCAAAGGAAATGAAAACAGGATGTCAAAAAGATACCTGTACTCCATGTTGACTGCAGCATTACTCACATAGTCAAGGTATAGAAACAAACTAAGGGTCTCTCAATGAAAGAATGGATAAAGAATGTAACACACACACACACACACACACACACACACACTGGAATATTATTCAGCCATGAGAAAGAAAGAAAGTCTGCTATTTGTGACAACGTGAAGGGAACCTAAGGGCATTATGCTAAGTCAAATAAGCCAGACATAGAAGACAAATACTGCATGGTTTCATATATATGTGGAATCTTAAAAAAAAAGAAAAGAAAAAAAGTCAAACTTATAGAAACAGAGAGTAGAAAAGTGGTTGCCAAAGGCTAGAGGGTGGGGGAAATAGGGAGACACTGGTAAAAGGGTACAAACCTTTAGCTATAAGATTAATAAGGTCTAAGAACCTAATGAATAATGTGGTGAGTGTAGTTGATAATATTGTATTGTATAATTGGAATTTGCTAAGAGAGTAGAACTTAAATGGTTTCACCAAATAAATAAATACACACATACATATATAAACAAACAAGTGATATAAGAGGTGATGAATGTAAATTAACTAGATGGGGGAGATCCTTTCACAATGTCAAGTCATCATGATGTACACTTTAAATATATTACAATTTTGTCAATTGTATCTCTTTAAGATGAAAAAAAAAAAAAAACCTAGGCAAAAACCTAACAAGAAATGTCCAAAAGCTATGTGAAGAAAGCTATAAACCATTCCCAAATAATGAGAAAGATACATCATGTTCATTGATAGAAAGAATCAACATCACAAAGATGTTAAATCTATCTAGGTTAATTTATAACTTTGAAATGTGCCGATAAAAATACCATTTTTTTTTCTACAGGGAGAAAACTGATTATAATGCTCATTTGGAAATGAAAACAAGCAAGACCAGCCAGGAAAATCCTGAAATAGAAAAAGAGGAAAGAGGAGAAGGGAAAAAAAGGAGCGGCTGGTGGGGGAAGCCAGCCCTCCCAGGTATTAAAAACATATTATAAAGCTTCTATAATTTTACAGCATTATATCGGTACATGTTTAGATAGACAAGCCAGTAGAATAGATTATAACAATAGATCTAATTGAAAGTGGAAATGTATATGAATATATGATAAATGTAGCATCTCAAATATAGAGGAGAGAAAGACATTTTATTTTATTTATTTTTAAATATTTTATTATTTGACAGAGAGAGACACAGTGAGAGAGGGAACACAAGCAGGGGGAGTGGGAGAGGGAGAAGCAGGCTTCCCGTGGAGGAGGGAGCCCGATGGGGGCTTGATCCTAAGATCCTGGGATCATGACCTGAGCCAAAGGCAGATGCTTAATGACTGAGCCACCCAGGTGCCTCGAGAAAGACATTTTATTAAGTAGAGTTGAGGGGCGCCTGGGTGGCTCAGTCGTTAAGCGCCTGCCTTTGGCTCAGGTCATGGTCCCAGGGTCCTGGGATCAAGCCCCGCATCGGGCTCCCCGCTCTGTGGGAAGCCTGCTTCTCCCTCTCCCACTCCCCCTGCTTGTGTTCCCTCTCTCACTGTGTCTCTCTCTGTCATATAAATAAATAAAATCTTTTAAAAATAGTAATAATAAAATTTTTTAAAAAGTAGAGTTAAGGGGTGCCTGGGTGGCACAGTCAGTTAACTGTCTGATCCTTGGTTTCGGCTCAGGTCATAATCTCAGGGTCCTGGTATCAAGCCCTGAGTCGGGCTCTGCATTCAGCAAGGAGTCTGCTTGTCGCTCTCCCTCTTCTCCTCCCCTAGCTCTCTCTCACATAATTAAATAAAATCTTTTTTTTTAAAAAGTAGAGTTGGGATAACAGAACAGCTATATGAAAAAAGATTAAGACTGAATCTAGTCCTTTCATCATACACTACAAAATATCCAAGTGGATCAGAGATCATATAAAAATAAAACCATAAAAGCACTGGGGGGGAAGCTGATAAATTCCTCTGTAGCCTGGATGTGGGGAAAACTTTGATTCAAAATCCAGAAGTAATAAAACACCGATAAATTTGACTACATAAATTTTTAAAAAAGATTTATTTGAGAGTGAGTGAGTGGGAGGGAGAGGGAGAGAGGATCTGAAGCAACTCTGCACTGAGCACAGAGCCAGACGTGGGGCTTGATCCCAGGTCTGAGAGATCATGACCTGAGCTGAAATCAATAGCCAGAAGCTTAACTGACTGAGCCACCCAACGCCCTGACTACATAAAATTTTTAAAAAGAACATTTTGTGGGGCACCTCAGATGGTTAAGTGTCTACCTTCAGCTCAGGTCATGATCTCTGGGTCCTGGGATGAGCCCTGCCTCCGGCTCCATGATCAGTGGGGAGTCTGCTCCTCCTTCTCCCTCTACCTCTTCCCTGCCCACCCCCCACTCATGCTCCCTCTCTTTCTAAACTGAATAAAATCTTTAAATAAATGGAACATTTTGTTTCATATAAAAGTCTTATAGAAAATGGTCAAGACATATGAGCCAATAATTCACACCCAGCTTTTGGTCTTGAAATACCATTCACCACTAAAAGGAACCAGGTCTGGGGCAGGAAATGTACAAGATGAGTCTGGGACATCTTGTCCCAGAGAACAAGGAAGTTATCAGACTACCAGGACTAAAGACTACTGAAGAGCTAACTTAAAGAGGTTTCCTCTGTTAAATTTATAATTATATTTTTTAAAACCCTCATCAGTCACTTTGGAGGATAGGCAACCAATTTATTATTCTGAAAATTGGTAGGATAGACAAGACAATCAATCATTTATCTTACCTTTCTAGAATAGATGTACCTCAAGGTAACCAACATATAGATGGTAAGAAAGTTCTTCTTTATAGAGGTATTCCAGCTAATAAACACAGAATGAATGGTAGAATTAGCTTATCACCTGAAAATAATGAATCTAGGCAATGATCATCAATGGCTATTAAAACCATGAGGTGAAAGGCTGATTGGGAACTTTATAATGAATAGATGAGGCTGAAAACACCTAAACCTCTCAATTCGTCTTTCATCACAAAGAAAGACACCAGCCCTTGTTGCAGTTCAACAGGAGGTGCCAAGCATTACCAAGTAAGTATACTTGCCAAAAGTATTGAGACTTAATCTGGTTAAGCTTCTAGATCTAAGGACCAGTTTACAGAAAATACAGGGGTTAAATGGAGCCAGAGGAATGTTATCAGCAAAATCCAGAGTGGTTAATTCTATAGTTTAAATGACTATATTCTTTTAAAGCATAAAAGGCAAGGGGTGCCTGTGTGGTTCAGTTGGTTAAGCATCGGACTCTGGGTTTCAGCACAGGTCATGATCTCATGGGTCAGGAGACCAAGCCTCCAGTCAGGCTCTGCACTCAGCATGGAGTCTGCTTGAGATTCTCTCTTCTTCTCCCTCTGCCCCTGCTGCTAGTGCTCTCTCTCTCTCTAAAATAAGTAAATATTTAAAATAATCTAATGTTTGTGCTTTGCTTTAAAACAATGTAGATAGATTGGGGGACCTGGAGAGGGGTACAGACTGCCCCTAGGTTATTTGGTAAAGCTAGGTGATGGGTAGGTACACTGGAGTTCATTCATCCAATGATTTCCTCTTTTACATGTTTGAAATTTTCCACAATAAAAAGTTAATAAGTGAATACCTTGTATTAGCTGACAATTCCCAAAGATGTTACCTCTAGCCCAGACCCCTCTCCTGAATTTCATACTCCTATATTCAATTGCTGACCTAACAGCTCTACTTGGGTGACTAATATACACCTCAAACTCAACATGTCCAAAACCAAGATCATCATCTCTCCCCCAGTCTTCCTATTCTAGTTAATGGCAACTCCATCTTTCTAGTTGCTTGGGCCAAAATCTAAGAGTCCTCTTTGACTCTCTTCTCACATCCAATCTGTTAGCAAATACTATGGTTAATTCCTTCAAAACATATCCAGAATCTGTCCACTTCTCATTCCTTCCACTATAAGTTTACCAGATAAAATATAGGATGCCCAGTTAAATCTGAATTTCCCAAACATTGCATGGGACACACTTGTACTAAAAAAATATATATATATATATTGTTTACCTGAAATTCAAATTTAACTGGGTGTCCTGTATTTTTATTTGCTAAATCTGACAACACTACTCTACTGCCACCAGCTTGGATTGCTGGAATGGCCTCCAAACTGGTCTCCCTGATTTCACCCTTGTCCCAACTTTATAGACTCTTCTTTATGAAGCAGAGTTCAAACCTTACATCCGATCATATTACCCCTTTGATCAAACTCTCCACTGCTTCTACCCTACTCAAATACAAGCCAGAGTTCCCATGATTATCTTTGGTGTCTTCAATCTCCCCTTAGCCTTGCTTCTTTCCCATCTACACTCCATTCCACACCTCTTACGGGGTTCTCCCTTGTTGGGCACACAACCAGTTTCAGGTCCCTTTCCCATACTGTTTCCTCCACTTGGTTCACTTCCCTCAGATATCAGCATAATAGGCCAAACACCTCCACCACCTCCAGGTGTTCTCTCAAATTATTCAAAATTTTAACGCCTCGTTATTTACTGTTTCTCCCTTGCTTTTTCTCCCCAGCATACCATTATTCTAATACATTAAATATTTTATTAATTTATCTTGTTTTTATTTCAGCATGCACACCCAAGCCTACTACTTAACTGTAAAGTTAAGCTCTTTGAGGATAGGAATTTTTGTGTGTTCTGTTCCCTACTATATCCTCAAAATCTAGAAATTGTGCCTGGCACATAATAGAAAATATTTACTGTTAAATGAGTTTTTTAAAAAAAATGAGAACTAGGGGCGCCTGGATGGCTCAGTCAGTTAAGCATCTTGCCTTCGGCTCAGGTCATGATCTCAGGGTCCTGGGATCCAGCCCTGCTTACAGTCCCCTGCTCAGCAGAAGTCTGCTTCTCCTTCTCCCTCTGCTACTCCCCCTCTGCTTGTTCTCTCTCTCAAATAAATAAATAAATCTTTTAAAAAATGAGAACTAAATTAGGACAAGAGAGCAAAACTTTCCAAGTATCCACAAATTGAAAAATATATATGATTTGTTTTCAATTATTACATTTCAAATCCCTAGATCACCAGAGACTTATTACATATTTTATTTTATTTTATTATTTTTTAAGATTTTATTTATTTATTTTACAGAGAGAGAGACAGCGAGAGAGGGAACACAAGCAGAGGGAGTAGAGGAGAGAGAAGCAGGCTTCCAGCAGAGCAGGGAGCCCGATGAGGGGCTCGATCCCAGGACCCCGGGATCATGACCTGAGCCGAAGGCAGACACTTAATGACTGAGCCACCTAGGTGCCCTGACTTATTACATATTTTAATAAAGGGGAAGAATTGAAGTAAATATAGGATTCCTACTCTTACGTTTACTTATTTCTTTGATAATCTGTTTCTTCTTCCATCCACACTTGTGAAAATTCCTCCTTCTAGAGTCTAGATTTAGAATCTAGACAATTTTATACACATCACTACAAGACCATTATTTAAGACCATTATTACTACATCTAGATGATACATCCTCTATCATCTTCCATTTCTGTTTATGTTGAGAGAGGAGAATAATTTACGCAGTATATGGCTTGGGGTTTAGAATGACTACATTGGGGGTTCCAAACCTAACTTACTCTTAAGAGGTTTCATAAATGTGGTTGAAAAAATTCCATGGCTGCACCCTTGACTATGTCTAAGGACCCCATGGGGCTTGATGTGCTCAGCCTCAGGTTTATCTGTTCTCTGTGCACTTACCCATCACTGTGCTACCTATATAGTCTTTTAAATTCCCAGAGGGCAAAAATCCCATCTGCCTAAACCTGTCCTTGTAGATGCTAGTATACTAGTAATGAAGAGGTAGTCATTCTTAGGTAGGACACTAGGTAAATGAAAACTGAAATGCACACATTACAAACTTTCAAGGGCAGGGTTCTCCCCCCCCCCATCCCCCAGTCCTATTAGAAGAAGCATAAAAGCAGAGGAAAGGTTTAGGGGTGCCTGGGTGGCTCAGTCGTTGAGTGTGGGACTCTTGGTTTCGGCTTTAGTGGTGATCTCATGGGTCCTGGGATAGAGTCCCGCAGTCTCCGCGCTCAGTGGGGAGTCTGGGGATTTTCTCCCTCTGCTCTCTCCCCGCCCCCCCCGCCCCCCCCCCCCCGCCAAATAAATAAATCTAAAAAAAGAAAACCAGAGGAAAGGTTTAAGTGCATGCAAGGAATGCGACTGTCTCCATAGGAAGGGCCCTGGCAAGGTGGTAGGTAGGTAGGGGAGGAACAAGTGGGCTGAAGAGAATACCCTACGGGTCTCATAGAGCACCCCTCACCCCCATCTGACCCCGTCTTCGACACTGAGAATCCTGAAGCCACAGTGTGAGGTCCTCTACGTGCCCCTCTGGCTCCTCCCCTCCGTCGCAGAAAAAAACAGTTCGGTCCCTCAGACTTTGTGGCCCCACGGGCCTTCAGGAGGCCCGCCTCAACCTCAGGCAGCCATCCCCTCGTCTTCATCACTTTTCAACCAGGAGACCTGTTCTGGACTCCTAGACTAAATCATTTCAATGTCCTTTCCAGAGGCTTCCAAGGGATACTGCATAATAATAAAGGTAAATCCCAGTCGGTTTCCCTGGATTCCTGTTCACCCTGACTTTCCGAGCCAATTCTCTTCCTTGCGTCTCCTAATCCCCGACTCGGGGTGAGAGGCTGTGGAACCCCGCGAATCTGACGTAAACAGCTCTCCAAGGATAAGCACAGAAGGTAAAGTCTCCCTGAAGACCCAGAGTGGTCTTTCGTCACAGAAAAAGAATGAATGGCTAGAACTCCCGGACAAGGATCAAGTGGACAAGCCAGCGTCCTAAGAAATTCCTCAAGGTCCCCGGAAATCCCGAACTTATACGTAAAGCCCCATACGGCTCCCCACCCCCCCACCTGCACCCCACCCTCCCCTCCCTGCCGTCTCTGACCAAACCCCTCCCGCCTCAACCTCTGAGGGCCGGCGCGCGCCCCACCTGGGGCGTCTCTGATCTCGCCTCAAGGACAGTCCCGCTGAAGTTGCCTGAGCATGCGTGATCCCGCCCCCGGCCCGATCTCACCAATGAGGGTTAAGCCCCGCCCCTGGGCCCGCCCCCTCTGCGGCTCAAGACTAACGGCTCTAACGGTTCTAACGGTTTTAAAGGTTTTAACGGTCTGGGTTTTTTTTGTTACCAGCAGGTGCATTGGCCAAGCCCACGTGTACCTCTCAAGATGTACCCGCGCACCTCCACAGTCACACCCCTGCTGCCACCCACACCCCACGCAGCATCCCCTCACCAAGGCAGACCCGCTCAGGAGTTACCTGACCCACCCTGCCGTATGTGGAGTGGACTGAGTGCCCACGGGCTAGGGCCCGGCTGGGGCCCAAGAGGTCCTAACAAGAGCTGGGTAGGGAGAGCCGCTGGAAGGAGAGGCGCTGTGGTCAAAAGGGGACACAGAACTGGCAGCCTGGTGGGGAGAAGAAGGCAAAAAATAGTCCAGGGAACCTGGCCTGCTAGATACTGAGACAAAATGAGGGCAGGGTGGGCAGGGGCAGAGGGTCGTAGGGAGGAGGGGTCTGTGTAACTCTGCCTCTGATAGTTATAGATGGCTTTTAAAGCCATGAAACAAATCACCAATGAAAGAATACGGATAGAAAAACAGATTGTATTGAGCCCCAGGACACACAAGTTTAGAGGCCTAGATAAGGAAAAAGCAGCAAAGGACCCCAAGCAGGTGCGGTCAGGGACGGAGGAGGGACACCCAAGAGAGTGAGGTGCTGTGGAAGCCTCCTGGACCACCCTTTAAAGAAGAGGAGGAGACCAGCTATGTTGTTACTGGTGGGAGA